TCAGCGGTAGTACCGCCGAAGCTCGTCAAGCGGTAGTACCACTCCCCGAGCGGTAGTACCGCTCCCAGAGCGGTAGTACCGCTTGTGGTCTTCGGCCGTAGTACCGCAGTGGTTCCGGGCTACTACCGCCTCGACTCGAGCCCGATGTTTTTCGTGTCGGGTTTTATGGTACTAGGAGCGGCAGTAGTGGCGTTAGTATCGCTCCAAGCGGTAGTACCGCTCTTACTCCCGCGGTAGTACCGCTCTGGGGCCAGGACCCTACCTTCCTCGTCAGCGTGGTAGTATCGCTGGGTGGGAGCGGTAGTACCGCTCTTCAGCTGTAGTACCGCCCTGCCCAAGCGGTAGTACCGCTCTGTGCGTGGCTGTTCAGTGGGGTAACGGTTGGATTGTTTCCCCCACTATATAAAGGTATCTTCTTCCCCAAAGTTGACCTACCTCTTTCCCCAAAAGCTCCATTGTTGCTCCAAGCTCCATTTTCGCCCGATCTCTCTCCCTAGCCAATCAAACTTGTTGATTTGCTCGGGATTGGTTGAGAAGGCCCCGATCTACACTTCCACCAAGAGAAATTTGATTCCCTCTCTTATCCCTAGCGGATCTTGTTACTCTTGGGTGTTTGAGCACCCTAGACGGTTGAGGTCACCTCGAAGCCATACTCCATTGTGATGAAGCTTCGTGGTGTTGTTGGGAGCCTCCAATTGTTGTGGAGATTGCCCCAACCTTGTTTGTAAAGGTTCGGTCACTGCCTTCAAGGGCACTAATAGTGGAATCACTGCATCTGTAAGGGCGTGAGGAGAATATGGTGGCCCTAGTGGCTTCTTGGGGAGCATTGTGCCTCCACATCGCTCTAACGGAGACGTACTTCCCTTTAAAAGGAAGGAACTTCGGTAACACATCCTCGTCTCTACCGACTCCACTATTGGTTATTTCGAGCCTTTATTTTTGCAAGCCTATTTGTGTTGTATCCCTTGCTTGCTTATGTGCTAGTTGTTATTGCATCATATAGGTTGCTCACATAGTTGCATATCTAGACAACCTATTTTGTCGTAAAGTTTAAATTGGTAAAGAAAAGCTTAAAAATTGTTAGTTGCCTATTCACCCCTCTCTAGTCAACCATATCGATCCTTTCAGAAAGGACGCCTGTAGTAGAACGCGAGCTCCGCGGTGGCCTATTGGTCTTCTTTTATTTGTTTGTTCAAGTGGATGGAAATTTCCAAACCAATCCAATTCAGTGGTGGAAATTGCGAACGAAAAAAAGCCTCTCAGAAACTTTTTTCCCGGATTTTTTTTGGATATTCATGTGATTACATACAAAGCAAGGGGGTTTTCTGCAAAAAAAAATGCCACGTCGGCACCTGATGGGCGGGCTGGACGGTCATACACCATCAATATACGGATTAAACCTTTTTGTAGCTATTAGCAGTAGACTTGGTACTGACATACAAAAGAGTTAATTGCACAGAAGTACCACAATTGGGACATTACGTGCAGATTGATACCAGTTTTACTAATTTTTACATGTCAGTATCAAGTTTGCGGCTAGCGGTTACAAAAAGGTCTAAACCACGTATAAACATGTATTGACAGTGTATCTGACCGGTGGGACCCGCCTGCCAGGTGCCGATTTGGCACATTTTGTGCAGAAACCCCCTTACGTTGTATGTAATCACAAAAATGCCCAATTTTTTTGCGGGAAAAAGGCTCCATGAGAGGCTTTCTTTTTTCTTCGCAATTTCCACCACCGAATCTGGACTGGTTTGAAATTTTCCGCCACTTGAAAAGCTAATAAAAGAAAGGAAAACCAGAAGCTATGGGAATCGGTCCTGCGACCTGCAGTCCATAGGCGCCACACGCTAACCACCACGCGACAGCACACCTCGCGTTTGGATACAGGCGTTCCTTTTCTTATACTGTGCCTGAATCGCTGGGCCGGCCAATCGTGGCCTGAATTTTTTTTTCGTATCGCACTTAACTGGCGCGCGTGCTGGGCTCGTTCGTTGCCACGGTTTCTAGGGTTCAAATCATGGTGCTCGCATTTATTTCTGGATTTATTTTAGGATTTCCAGCGATGCGCATTCAGTGGGAGGAGATGTTCCCATCGATGACGAGGTGCCTACGGTGACTTCGTAAATTTCAAGATGATATGCCGGCTCGGTCTTTCGGAGGTGCTCATAGGGGGGTGTACGTGTCTGCGTTTATAGAGGTGAGTGTATGCGCGTGTATATGAGCGCTTGTGTCTATACTGTGTTAAAAATAATAATTCTCTTATGCTTTCAAATACACATGAACATATTTTTAATATACGCTGAGCACCTTTTCTGCTTATAGTGAACATTTTTCAATGCATGATGGACTTTTCTTTACAAATAGTGAACATTTTCTTAATATAATAAACTTTGGTAATATCCGTTGAACATATTTGAAATGCAAATTGAACATTTTTGTACTATAGGTTGTTCAATTTTCTTACGATAAGGAACATTTTACTTAATTCGCGGTATTTTTTGTAATTTATGGTGACATTTTATTAATACACGGCGAGTTTCAAGATTATTATGGTGAATATTTTCTTAATACATGGTGAAAATTTTGTATTTCACAAAATGTTCAGCATGTATTAAAACACATGGAAATGCTGCAAGGAAAGAGCCGGGTCGAAGCCCAAACGTGTAGTGCCCACTTGTTAGTGGCCTGGCCAGAGTCTGGCACGACGACTCACTCCTTCGTGGCGGGATTGCACACAATCTAATGGAACTGGCCAACCTTGCCGGAAATATCGTGCCAGCGGCAGAGGAGGAGGCCATTGCAGCAGTCCAACTGTCCAAGACATCAATGCACCGATGGTTAGGCAGGAAGGCGAAAGAGGTGTGGATCAGACGGCGGCAGATCCTGCTCACTGCCCCTGGGACACTTGTGAAGTGGACAGGTGACTCCAAAAAGAGCTGTTCGACGCTGCTTTTGCTGCTGGTGTAGAAGAAGCCGGCCAGGGTTTGGGGGAGCTTATTGCGGTGGTCCGGGTGGTCGATGAGGGCGAGCCAGTGGCTGGAGACGCACTTGAAGCGGTAGAGTGACTTGGCGGGGACCCGCGAGAGGATCTCTATGAGGACATCGTCGGTGAGCGTATCGCCCGCCGCCGTTCCGCTGGGGAAAGCAGAGGAAGGCCTACACAAACAGAGATACATGAGATGTGAGGGGATCAGTGAAGGGAAAGAAGTCGATGGTGATGGCGCTGCGCAGACCGGGCACAAACTGAAGCGCGGCCATCCTCCGGTGGGCGAGAGCCATCCGCCGGGACGGACATGGCGGCAGAAGAAAACGGCGGCGACGTCGTTGAGGGAGGAGGCATGAAAACCTATGGCAGGACGGGGCCTTTTTTTCTTAGAACAATGGCTGGATAGGACTGGCACTTTCGCATATCCGGCGAGTGGGTCGTCGGTGCGTCAATAATGGGCTAACTATATTCTCGGCGATTGGGCTGTGTACGAGTTCATTAAGTTCCGGAAGGCCTTCGCTCTGCTCGAGCGAATCACGTGATTCTTATTTGTTTCTTAAAAGAAAGGTGATTCTTGTTTTTGTCTCAAAAACAAAAAAGATGATGATTGTTTTGGTGATATTAAGGAGAAGCGCCCGTGGGTCGCAATGGAAAAAATATCGTAAACTTCAATAGTCATGACCACATTTTGCTACATCACCGATGTACACTATCACTCTCAATTTCGTGAAATCATGAACAATTTTTCACATCATGAATATTTTTTAAACTCATGCACATATTTGAAATTGTGAATATTTTTTCAGCTTCATGAACAATTTTAAAAAATTTCGAACATTTTTGAATTCATGAACATTTTATACTATTTGCAAACATTTTTTAAAAATTGTGAACACTTTGTTAAACAATTTTCTTGAGTCGACGAATATTTCTAGAATCGACAAATAATTTTTGGAAATTGGTGGAACAATTTTTGAAATTCGTGAACATTGTTTTGATTTAACGAATTGAAATGCATGATCATTTTTTTGAATTAGCAAACATTTTATGAATGAATAAAAAAAGTTGTAAGTCACGAAAAGTTTTTAAATTTTTAGGATATTTTTCCATTCATGAACAATGTTTGAATTGACGAAATTTTGTTCAATTTTATTAACATTTTTTAATACACGAACTTTTGAAAAATCATGATTTTTTTTAATACACGAACTTTTACCGTGTAATCAACGCAAAGAAAAAAGACACAACCTCGTTCCTAAACACCGTTCGGTGTCGGCAAACCCCGGTACCGACAGAGGAGCTCAAGGACAGTTTCAGTTGGTTTTCGAGGGTCGGAGATGAGACCTGTGCCATGGCAGCCACCTGTTGTGTCGGTGCAAATAGGCTGTGAAAAATGGAATGGAGCATATGTGCAAGGTTATATCAGAATCAGGTAACTACTACTAGTAGAACTTATAGAAGCAAGACTAGCATGGGAACAGCACGGCATTGGCAATTTCATACCCTGTTAAACCTAAATGCCTGAACGAACACCACAGACAAACAGCATGTCTCCGCCCAATTTTGTGTCCAGAAAAAGATTTGCTTCCGTCTAACAAAAGATTCAACACACCATGGTACATACACGGCCTGCTGATGTTCTGCTAGCAACACTTCCTAATTAATTAGGCCATGCCATAAGCAACTACTCCCCAACATCAAATGCAACCTACAAACAGAGCTTAACACACATACCACTACTACACAAGGCTAACCATACACATGGAGATGGCAGTGTCCAGAACCACTGATACACAAAACAGAAGTTCACTGAAATTTCACATAGTTAATCACTTGACAGGGAAATCAATCAGGTTGCCTCGAAACTTAAAAGCATGGATACATCAGTCACATAATACGAGACTCAAATTCAAGCATACATACCAAGCCCACTGCTCCATAGTAGCACGAACAATTGACTGCTATCAAAGATCCACTTCCAACAAAGGAAACGGCTACCTGATATTCGATCTCACATGTGCAACGATTGTAGCTCTGCATACAGCGGCGCGTATGGCAGATATGGTGGCCTGCCATCTTCAAGTTCGCGGATCACTTCTACTTGCCGACGATCCATATTATAGCACATGAATGTTTCATACCAACCAACAGTAAAGAATATCACGTTACATTCCGGATGGATTCCAACCCATTCAAAGTCATCTTGAACATAGCAAACATCTATCCCTCCAAACAATTCCGAAGCTTCAACAGTGTGCTTTACTTTCCACTCTTTGCTTTCATAGTCCTCCAGAACATAAACTGCTAGTCGAATCACATTGTTGTAGTAATTGGCATAATGTAAGCGGCCCTGAGAACACTGAATAAAACCATCAATCAGACCACGACCATGACGAGGGAGAGCGAATTTCATCCATGTCTCACCCTTGGTGTCCACCGTAGCCACACAAAAGTCACGGTCAAAGGCTTGGAAATACAGATGGCCGTTAAGAAAGACAGTTTGTTCCGAGCGTCGAATGATGTGTCCACTCTGTCTCTTTTCCTTGCATACCCATCCTCCAGTTTCAGATGAATACACTGCCACTCCGACAAGCTCGGTGGTCCAGTTCTCCTTCTGCTCCAGCAACTCAAACACATGGAAATGCGACGACCGGGCCAGATCGAAGCCCAAGCGTGTGACGGCCACCTGGTCCCTTGCCCGGCCGGAGTTCGGAAAGTCGACCCACTGCTCGGTGGCGGGACTGCACACAACATAACGGAAGTGATCATCCTGGGCGGAGACGCCATACCAGCGGCAGAGAAGGAGGCCGTTGCAGCAGTCCATGACATCGATGCGCCGGTGGTTAGGCAGGAAGGCGAAGGAGGTGATCATCAGAGGGCAGCGGCTCCATGGGAGACTTGTAGAGTGGACAGGTGAGTCCAAGAAGCGACCACTGGAGGTGCTGCTGTACAAGAAGCCGGCCAGAGGTTGGGGAAGCTTTTTGCGGTGGTCTGGGTGGTCGACGAGGCTGAGCCAGTGGTTGGAGACGCACTTGGAGCGGCAGAGCGACTTGGCGGGGACGCGCGAGAGGATCTCGATGAGGAGGTCGTCGGTGAGTCTCTCGATTGCCATCCTGCCGTCGCCTTCGGGGGAAGAGGCAGACCTGTAGAAACGCAAATGGATGAGTGGTCAGAGTATCAGTGGAGGAAGAGGGGTGGATGGTCATGGTGCTGCCTGTACCGGTCGGGGATTGAAGCGCGGCCTTCCTCATGCAGGCGAGAGCAATCCGCGGGGATGGACATGGCGGGCGGCGGCGGCGTCGGCGCCATCGAGCGAGGAGGGAGGGGAACGAAACCTACGGCTGCTGGACGGGACCGGGGTTCCTATATGGCGCATAGGGCACCCCCGAGCGACCAGGCGCGCACCCCCCTGGCGCGCTGAGAGCTCGTATGGGCCGGCCCATATCCTATTTATTTTTTCTTTTCTTTCCAAATTCGTGAACATTTTTTTGTATCAAATTCAAAAAATATTCGCATAGTGTAAAAATGCTCAACGTTTCATAAAATTCCTTTTTTGTTCATCGGATTGAAAAAATGTTCATCAAAATTCAAAATTTGTTCATCGAATTGAAAAACTGTTCACCAAATTCAAAAATTGTTCATCAATTTCAAAGTTTGTTCCCAAATTTAAAATTTGTTCGCCACTTTCAAAATTTGTTCATCAAATTAAGTTTTTTTTCATTTTCTTTTTTCTTTTCTTACAAAATTTATATGTTCATAAAATTCGTTTTTGTTCATCGGATTGAAAAAATGTTCATCAAAATTAAAAATTTGTTCATCAAATTCAAAAACTGTTCATCAAATTCGAAATTTGTTCATCATCAATTTCAAAAATTGTTCACCAAACTCAAAATTTGTCCGGCGATTTCTAATTTTGTTCAATGAATTCAAATTTTGTTCATTTATCTTTCATAAAAGTATTCTTAAATACAAATTTGGTTCATCAAGTTTAAAAAATGTTCATCGTATTCAAATTTTGGTCATCAAATATAAAAAATGTTCATCACTACTAGAAAAATGCTCATATAAATTTTTTCATCAAAATAAATATTTTTTCATGAAAATTCAAAAAAAAAATCACTATTTTGAAATCACGAATTGTTTTTACAAAATTCGCTTTCCTAAATTACTAACTATTTTGAAGAAAAACGAAAAGCAAAAATAGTAAAAAAACAATTTAAAAAAACTGGGGCGTTCAGCCCCGCTCGTGGGCCGCCCCAGTAGGGGCGCACGGGAGCGGACGGGTGCGCGCTGGCATGTTCGCCAGCGCGTCACGCGCCATATAGGAGCTCCCGGACGGGACTGGCAATTTTCGTTTCTTGCCGTAGGGAGTGGGCCGTCGATGCGTCAGTAAATGGGCTACCTGTATGCATGATCCCGTTCTGTGACTGAAGTTCTGGAGGCAATCGGCTTTGCTTGGAAGGCCTTGTCCTTGCACAAGAGGCTGTTGGGCCACAGATTGCTAAAGTGTAGCAAGAACCACTCAAAAAAGAAAAAAACAAGAACCACTCAAAAAAGAAGCGTAGGAGGGTCTTGCCCTAAGCGGACAATCTTTATATCCAGAATATGATTGTGGCTTCTGACTGCCGAGTTGTTAATGACATCAACGAGGGGGTAGGAGGTCCCAATGCAGCTATCATCCAAGAAATAGTAGATCGTAGATTTTTTTACAATTCTTGCTTTTTTTAGAACGAAGATGCTAGACGCGTCCGGCTTTAAATTAATATAAAGCCCACAACATAAGAAGCGTACCAAAGATCCAAACCTTACACACACAAACGGCCTCAGGCCACGCACGAGGGAAGTCATAGGGTTCAAGGCCAAAAGACCGCGAGCAAGAGTTACATGGCACGAAGGCCAAATACTAAGCACGCAGGCTCGCAATCGAACAAAAGGGCCGCTCCTTTCAGAAGTGGCAACTGGCTCCCTAGCCATCACGTACACCTGGCGGAGACGGTTTTGAGCGTGTTGCATCCTTTCAGCATCCTTGCGTCTCGCCAACGGACTCCACTGCTGCAGAAACAGATTGCATTTGTAGATAACACTAGCCGGGTGAGTCAGGAAGATCCCCTCGATAGCTAGTTTGTTCCTAGTCAACCAGAGAGCCCAGAAAGGTGCCCCAACACAGCTCCATAAAAACGCGCTTTCCGCTCCCTTGGACCGAGTCTAGAATAGCCACTAAATCGCCGGTGGATCGCGGATCCCATTGCACTCCCGCTGCGGTATGAACAGCGCTCCAAGCGAACCTAGCCAGCGGGCATCGAAAAAAGACGTGGTTTGCGTCCTCGATTACACCACAGACCGCGCATGTGCCGGTAGTCGGCACATGCCGTTTTGCCACATTTTCAGACGTGGGCAATCTGTTGCGAAACAGTCGCCACATAAACACTTTGATTTTGAGTGGGAGACGCGCCTTCCAAAGGCCCTAAACCACCGGCTGGGCCAACCCTTGGCATAGCTTGTGGTAAAGCGATTTGACCGTAAAAACTTGCCGGACGCGGTGAGCGCCCAAGTCACTGAGTCGGATGCTGCAGACAGCGAGGACGAGCTAATAAGGACAAGCATCGCCGCAAAATTTGCCCGCTCTTGGTCATTGAGCTCGCGACGGAAGTGGATCGCCAGGGGAACGAGGCTAAAGCCGAGGCCACGGTCATGTCCGGGTCTACAATGATAGCATACAGGTCTTGGTATTCCGACCAGAGCGGTTGGGAGCCAACCTAAAAGTCTATCCAGAACCTGGCCGATCGGCCATCTCCAATAGCATATTGTGCCCCCATGGCAAAGGCCGGTTTGATGGTTTGGATGTCATTCCAGAAAGGTGAGCCCCTTGCTACACCTTCGAAAAAATTCCCATCCGGAAAGTACTTTGCACGGAGGAGATCCACCCACAAGCCCGTCGCCCCTTGTGATATCTTCCAAATCCACTTGCACATGAGTGCAATGTTTAGAATTCTGGTGTTGGTGATCCCGAGGCCCCCCATGGCCTTGGGCCGGTAGACCGCCGCCCATTTAACCATGTGGTACTTGCGCTTCGGGTCCATTCCTTCCCAAAAGAAACGCGACTGTGGTGTGTCCATTTTGGCATGGACTCCTTCAGCCAGAAGAAAGAGGCCCATCACAAACATATGCAGGGAGGACGGGATTGAGTTCGCAAGCACAAGCCTTGTTGCGGAGGAGAGGAATTTGCCACGCCAAGGGCACACCTTTCCCCCAATCTTGGCGCAGAGCGGAGCCCAATCATCGATCATTGGGCATTTAGTATCAAAAGGTTGGCCTAAATACGTAAAGGGAACTTGCCAACTTTATAGTTGAGCAAATCCGCGATGCGCCTGCCCTCCTCCGGGTCCAATCCCATGGACAAAACTTCACACTTGTGGAAGTTGATCTTCAGCCCGGTCATGAGCTCGAAGCTGTGGAGGAGGGCTTTGACCGTGGCCACGCTGTGGAGGTCCGGCTGGAACAGCAGTAGCGTGTCGTAGGCATACTGAAGGTGGGAGATCCCCCCTGGGGTGAGGTGACTTATGATACGTCTCCAACGTATCTATAATTTTTGATTGTTCCATGCTATTATATTATCTGTTTTGGATGTTTAATGGGCTTTATTATACACCTTTATACTATTTTTGGGACTAACCTGTTAACCGGAGGCCCAGTCCAAATTGCTGTTTTCTTGCCTATTTCAGTGTTTCGCAGAAAAGGAATATTGATAACCCACAAGTATAGGGGATCGCAACAGTTTTTGAGGGTAGAGTATTCAACCCAAATTTATTGATTCGACACAAGGGGAGCCAAAGAATATTCTCAAGTATTAGCAGCTGAGTTGTCAATTCAACCACACCTTGAAACTTAGTATCTGCAGCAAAGTGTTTAGTAGCAAAGTAATATGATAGTGGTGGTAATAGTAACAAAAGTAAAGACAGCAAGAGTAATGTTTTTGGTATTTTGTAGTGATTGTAACAGTAGCAACGGAAAAGTAAATAAGCGAGAACCAGTATATGGAAAACTCGTAGGCACCGGATTAGTGATGGATAATTATGCCGGATGCGGTTCGTCATGTAACAGTCATTACATAGGGTGACACAGAATTAGCTCCAATTCATCAATGTAATGTAGGCATGTATTCCGAATATAGTCATACGTGATTATGGAAAAGAACTTGCATGACATCTTTTGTCCCACCCTCCCGTGGCAGCGGGGTCCTATTGAAAACTAAGGGATATGAAGGCCTCCTTTTAATAGATAACCGGAACAAAGCATTAGCACATAGTGAATACATGAACTCCTCAAACTATGGTCATCACCGGGAGTGGTCCCGATTATTGTCACTTCGGGGTTGCCGGATCATAACACATAGTAGGTGACTATAGACTTGCAAGATAGGATCAAGAACTCACATATATTCATGAAAACATAATAGGTTCAGATCTGAAATCATGGCACTCGGGCCCTAGTGACAAGCATTAAGCATAGCAAAGTCATAGCAACATCAATCTCAGAACATAGTGGATACTAGGGATCAAACCCTAACAAAACTAACTCGATTACATGATAAATCTCATCCAACCCATCACCGTCCAGCAAGCCTACGATGGAATTACTCACGCACGATGGTGAGCATCATGAAATTGGTGATGGAGGATGGTTGATGATGACGACGGCGACGAATCCCCCTCTCCGGAGCCCCGAACGGACTCCAGATCAGCCCTCCCAAGAGAGATTAGGGCTTGGCGGCGGCTCCGTATCGTAAAACACGATGATTTCTTCTCTCTAATTTTTTTCTTCCCGAAAGCCAATATATGGAGTTGGAGTTGGCGTCGGAGGGTGTCAGGACCCCGACTCAATGCCACATCGATCTAGCATGTAACACCTCATATCACTTTGCGGCCTCACGCACGGTATTCCCACGGGTGTCGCCTTACCTTAGCCCGGGACCGTTTGCGTCTTTTGACACACGTATATGATAGTGTCGCTAGCATCCATATGATAAGGAGCCCGGGCTGACATGGCTACTCGTAAACCCAAAGTGGCACAGACCTACAGGGACAGGCATCCATGACCTAGCATCGAACGTGTCGGTCATCAGCGAGTGAATCCAGGCTGTAGCACTGGGCTAGCAGGACTCCGGTGAACCGGGCTGTAGCGGGCTAACAGGACTCCGGTATTCATCGCGTGACATTTCCCCGAAGGGACAGACACAGGAACGAAGAAGGACACATGCCGGCCAGCCTAAGTGTTCCGGAGCAGCAGCAAGCTACCATGGCTCGGTGGAA